CACGCAGTAACTATGGATTGCATCTAAACAGTGAATTTGCTTCGATTTCAGATTAGCAGCTCCACCCAGAGTTCACTCTAGGCTCATGCAAGTTGAGTTCCATGGAGAGGACAGACAATTCCCTGTGTAACAATAGTGCAATTTTCTCTTCTTTGCACCACACTCTGGAAATCACCCTGGAAATAATCCCAGAATAAGAGAAGCTGACCAATAAATACATAGGCAAACACGTATAGAGCAAGATCTCTTACTGTTGTTGAATCCATGATATTCATTAGTGGGAACAGCAGGACAGGAAAGAGAGCTGTGACCGCCAACGGCAAGGCTTCCGTGCACCAAAACAGTGCCATCACTATGATGACATAACCGCATTGGGCCTCCTGAGAAAAGAAGAATACATGCAATCAGAATAGACTGTACATCTCACTTAGGCTTTGAGAAAGCAACAGCCCATAATTATACTCATTGCCTGATAATGGGATTTGAGAAAAGGTTGATTTCTATCTTTCTCTCCCGTCTATCCTCCTACCTATGCAGTTCCTAATCAAATGACGAACTATTCAACAACCTTGTCAGAACTGTGAGGAAAAGATTGGGGCCTCCAACGGGGAAAAACAAGAAACTTAGGAAAAGAAACAAATTGATGACACTGAACCCTTCACGATAAGGAATTGGCAGTCCTGCACAGACTCTTGATTTTGAAAGCAACAGCCCATAATTATACTCATTGCCTGATAATGGGATTTGAGAAAAGGTTGATTTCTATCTTTCTCTCCCGTCTATCCTCCTACCTATGCAGTTCCTAATCAAATGACGAACTATTCAACAACCTTGTCAGAACTGTGAGGAAAAGATTGGGGCCTCCAACGGGGAAAAACAAGAAACTTAGGAAAAGAAACAAATTGATGACACTGAACCCTTCACGATAAGGAATTGGCAGTCCTGCACAGACTTCTTGATTTTGCTGGTGGTATTGGTGGTATTTTCTTTTTATGTATTTCTGTCTTTGAGTTGCAGAAATAGTAACTGATCCAGACAAGGTTTCTCCACCTTTTTGTCTGCATGTTTCAGGACATGGCCCAGATGAACCCCAACTAATTTCAACAGCCTGGATTCCTTGTACTGTAAATACTTTTATCTATTTTTCATTGGATTTTTAGCTTAGTACAGACTTTGAAAGGCTCACTGACAAACTGGTCACAGATCAGTTTCAGCTTCCACTGGCTTTGACTTGTTTCTTTGAAGAAAGTATGATCCCCTATTTCGTGTTACTCTTTTTCTGAGAAAGCATTGATTTAGTTGTGCTTTGGACAACCACTCCAAATATTATGTAAAAATATTTAACTCAGTCCCATGCACTAAAAAGATTCAAAATAACATGTCACAATGGGTTTTCATATGGCTGGGCTGATGAAGAAGGCAAGGAAAAATAACATTGCAGGTTACAGTGTCTTCCTCGTTTTGGAACTAGTACAATAATGGGTGCCAGCAAATCCAAAGGAAGAAAAAAGTGTTTGTGTGGTCTTGGATCAAGGACGTCCACTAAAATATACTGGACAGTATAAATGAAAATGTAGTGATGCTTATTGAGAAAACAACGAAGAGATGGAAACTGTAACGGCTAGATTACAGAGAAGTAAACCAAGGAGCTGGAATAGTGGCTGGCAGGATCAAACTTGTGATGCTTTAGAACATGCTCAGGACTTCTGAACATGGCATGGAAGTTTCAGAGCTGATGAAGGGAAAGGATGGACAGGGGAGCTCAACAGTCTGGAGGAAAGAAGACAGCGATCTAGGTGGTAGATTACCAAAGCAGCGGGGTTGGAGAAGTAAAGCTGAAAGAGATTCATGGGGAGATGAAAAGATGCCTTTTTGAGCCTTATTTTTGAATGAGAGCAGTAAGAAATCCCATCAAGCACTGAAAGCAATTTTCCATTTTGATGATCCTTTTTTTCCCATTTTTGTTATTCAGAGATGCCAGTGGGTGCCTTTTGAGAGACCCTAGCAGGGCTTTGGAACATAGATCACAGCCGCAGTGCTATTCTCTTCCAGCCTGCTGTGAACAGGCTCACAGTAAAAGCTGGAATAAGGCTTTTCACAAAGTCAGTTGTCCTGTAAGGACATTCCTCTGTCTTTAGACAAAATCTTTAGCATTGTCTGCTCTCATTTGTAATAGTTTAGTGTCCAGTGCTATGTCATTATAGGACAGGTTAATAGCTCAACAGAATAGAAAAATGTGAAATTCCATCAAGTTGTCTGCTTACAGCTCTGCATGCTGAGGAACCAGCTTTTCCTGCTTAGCAGTACCAGATGCACAATTCTAACACAAGAAATCTTGCAGGTTGCAAAGGGAAAGTCCATGACCTTTTGAATTTTTGTGTTGTAGCTGACTAAATAGAAACCAGAGAGTCATTTTCAAAGAGGAACTGAACCAAGACTGCCAAATCATTGCACAGGCAATACCAAGGATTTATTGTATGGTAACAATGACTCTAGCAAGTAAGTTTGAACTCGTGGCCTCAGGACAAAAAAAAAATCAATCTCGCTTTCCGGCTACGTAGAACTTTTCTGACCCAGATCTCTTTTAACTTCAGTAACTCTTTTGCCTATGGAAAGTTAACGAGCAAAAAAGTACTTTTTCTGTTTTTCTTCTTAGTAAGCTTTTAAGTGGAAGCTTAAGCTATTTTATTTGCATAGCAAGGGAATAGGAGGACGCGCCTGATCAGTTACCGCATTTCACCTCAAGCCAGTGCCACTCTATCATTCTTGCTTGCAATCCTCTGGTCATAGCTCCGAAGTCTCTGATAACACTCAGAAAAAGAGCTGTGAGGAAGAAGGAGCTTTGGGACAGGCTGCACAAAAAGACAGGGAAGAGGGAAGCTTGGCGAAGGAGACTAGAAACTGGGAGTCAGCAGGGACTGGGAGACAGGTAGGCAGGCAGAGACTGGAGGAAAGAGCTAGGACTTGACATCCAAAGAGCAGTGACAGGAGAGGTAGATTGGGACTAGCTATTTAATGATGCTGGGACTGTAGTAAGAGACCTGAAGACCAGAGATTAGATCTGCCTGCATGAAGAGATTGGGAGTGGGAGAAATAAGCCAGAGTGAATAAGAAGCAGAACACTGGCAGTCTGCCTGCTCACAGTGCTGTATTTAAATGATCGATGTCTCAGAAATACCTGTCCCACTACTACAGGTTTTTGTAGTTAACTTTTTCTGAAGGAATCCTAAGCAAGGTGTCTTCCAAAACTTGACATGTTAAATTTTAAATCATTGTTTGGAAAGATTCTTGCAGATATATGCTAAAAAAAGAGTGAAATACATATTATTTTGTCCTTATGTATCAGAATGTCTTGCCTATCTGACCAAGAAAAATGCCTCTTCTATCTGGCAATGACAGCAAGGAAAAAATTAAAAGAGGATGTGGACTGGATACTTTTAGAAAATCAGAAGGGGGATTAGAACTGAGCCTTAGATTGTAACTTAGGTTCACACGTATGAGCTTCAGCATAGAAAGTCCTTTGCTAAATCAGTTAAATGCAAAGCAAAAGTTACAAAATTGCATGTCACTGAGCATTCTTCTAGAATATGCAATCACAGATGTATCTGTTCATCCATCTATGTCCTATTGCTTTTATATTCCCCCACTATCAGTAGTCAAAGGGGTCTGCTCAGGAAAAAAAGATCTTCAAGCAATAAATGAAGTGAGAAAGAATCTGTATCTCTTCAGCTCTGTCACTTAAAAGGAACAACTCTAAGGAGGGAGTTGGAGATTTGGCTCTCAAATTCAATTTTAAAAGTTCTTACCTTGGTAGGAACAGCCAGAGGCAGAGGAAGAAACAAAAGGGGTACAAAGACTGTGATCAGGTATTTCCTGAAGGCTAGGATCATCTGCAAGAAGCCAGCCATGGTGCTGGAGCTAGCCCAGTGCTGAAAGGCACTGTGGTCTGCTGCTGGAGACTATATAAACACTGGGGAGTATTAACCATTGACCTCAGGAGGTTGGGTGTTGTTTTTGGAACTGTAATCAGGGAAAGAGGGAAGAGAACAAAGAAGGGAGGGGACAGCAAAAGAGTGTCAGACCAGGAACTTTCTTAAGACGATATTCCTGATAACTGGTAGATCCAGGAGAGAATTAACTCCTTGCGGACCAAGTAGGTTTATTAAAAGCATCCTGAAATGACCTACGCTTTGTTTAAGGAATATTAATGTCTTTAATATTGCCTTCTTTGAGTAGATACTGTTATTCCTTCCATAAAAAGGAGAAACGGCTCCCTCCATAATAGGTTGAAAATTGTTTTAAAAATAGGTAGAGTACTGAAAAACACATCTGCATCTGTAGTACTCAAATACAGAGATTAGAAACATCTACACAAAACGTTATATAAACATCATTGTATCCGCTGAGAAATTCTTTGGGTAGCAAAATGCACTGAGTCAGAGATCCTGCCACCAGATGCCACATCAAGTCCCCATGCAGAAAGGGACTTACAGTCCTTACCACCTGAGAGCAGGGACACCCGTCTTTATGTGGCCCAGGGATGACCCTCATGACAATTCTGTTTTCTTCTGCTCAAAGAGCAGTAGGGGAAATGTTAAGGTGTGGTCAGAACTCAGTTCCTCCCACACGGCAGCCCAGAAAGGCTTAGGGCCAAAGAGGGAGCCTAGTAACTCTTTCTGACATAGCCTGTTATAGCTCAGTGCATTGGGAAAGACTTGGCTACAGTGCATCACTTTGCAGGCATTGGGCTATTTTTTTTCACCTTTCTGATCTTGTACGTTTGTAGGCGGGGGTGGGGGGGGGAGGGGGGGGGGGGGGGGGGGGGGGGGGGGGAGTGCTACTGGGAAATTACCAGCAATTCTTGTCTCAGTTGCAACAAACTTCCAAAATACAAGCAGTGAATTACTTGGTTCTGTAAATACGCTGGAACGGAATTGAAGGTTTTAATTCCAAAGGGAGTGTCTTGTTAATGTCACTTTGATGTCTTTATTTAGTAGACCATGCAAGCGCATACTTCAGATAATGATGATAACATTTCCATTTTATTGGTATAAATTGTCACAGCTCTGTTTATAGCATACTCAAGCAGAGAGAGAAAGAAGCACCGCTCATCTGATGTCAGCTCCACAAAGAGCTTCTGCTGTTTCTCTCTCTCTCATCCCTTTTCTGCTGGGGCTTGTTTTCTTCCAATAACGTGCTTATGATTGAAAAACAGTGGGGTTTCAGTTGTCAGAGCTGCAAACTCACAGCTCTCTTGCAAGCCTGACTTAGGCATATTGCTCACAAGGCAGAGCTTCATGTTAAATAACTGCCAATCCTGAGCTTTAGCATTTCACCCTTGGTACAAAAAGAATGAGAAAGAGCTTTCAAACAAATTATATTCCCCCCCCCCCCAGTTTTGCATCCACTTGATATTGAATTAGTGTCTGAAAAGGTGCAGTGACAAAATCAGCCAATGACAAAGTAATTTTTCTACTTTCTACTCTTAGGTCCTAAGGTTGCGATCGAAATCTAAAAGGAAACCTCTCGTTTTCACATCTCGGTAACACGAAGGCTGGCCTCCAGCTGCAGTCTTGCCTCTGGGATGGAAGTAACAGTGCAGAAGGACCTCAGCTAACAAATCGTGCCCGTTCTTTAGAAGCAGCACATCCACAGCCATTATTTCCACTGCTACATGAGTCCTGTTACTTTCAAAGATGCTATAAAGGAGCTCTGGAAGTGTGTTACTGCAAAACGAATGGTTTATGTCTTCAGGGGGACTTGTTAGAGCTTCACCTGTAGCCCATTCACACTCTCTCAATGGTGTTAAAGGAGTGATGCCAATTGACATTAATTTGGAACTACTCCAGTTTATATAAATGGGTTAATCTAATACTCTGAATTGTGTTCTTTGAATTTAAAGAACAACTTGGTCTTTGCTTCCTGATCTGCTCTTCGAGGCAAACCAAACCTAACAGGAAACCTAACAGCACAGCCAAAACCTCTTGTGTGTTACAGTTTATAAGTTATTGTGTCCTTTAGAAAAAGAAGTATTTTCTAATGTGCTGTGAATTAATAGAAGTGATTACACATTGCTAACTACAACATTTTTTCAGATCCTAGTGCACTTAAAGTGTTGATCATAACTTTTCCTTTGTTTGGAGGTCAGGAAAAAATCAGGTTTTACGTTTAAATTTCTTTAACTGTCAGTAAGTAACACAACCAGGGCTGAAAGCTACATGTTTAGCAGAGATGCAAGAGCAAGCCCTGGCGCCTAAGCAAAGTGTCTTCCAAAACTTGACGTGTTGAATTTTAAATCATTGTTTGGAAAGATTCTTGCAGATACATGCTAAAAAAAAAAAAGAGTGAAATACGTGTTATTTTGTCCCTATGTATCAGAATGCCTTGTCCATCTGACCAAGAAAAACGCCTCTTCTGTAGAGCGGATCCCTCCTCGTTTTGCAGGAGGCAGAGCCGCACCCAGGCCCAACCCCCACCCCCGCCCCGGTTCCCTCCGGGCTGCTGCCGCCTCCCCGGGCGGCG